TAGATTAATTCTGTTTTAATAATATGATTAAAAACTAAGTTTAAATCAGCATCATTTATTACTAAAACAAAAAGTATACGTCAAGCTGGGTTTTTTTAAGAAGAGATGAAGTTTTATTTATAATGAATTCTTGTAAGTAGTACTAAGACCATTTTAGTTAGGAAACATTACAGTGATTAATGCATAGTTGTTTGCATTTTAATACTTGATTTATATATCAGATCTGTATTTGTGCACACTGTCAAACTTTATTCTGTTCTTGTCAAAATACTTATTACTGCTGACAGGTGTAACATGCTCACATTAATCCTTAATTCCTTGATTCAATTTTCTAATTGCTTTTTTGGCATGAGTTTGGAGCCATTTAGTCTTATGTGATCTATTTGTCTTATGGTATAATAATGCACTTTTAAAAATTGGATGCGCCTAACTTAGAATGCTGAACAGAAAATATATATAGATATTACTTAGTACTGAAAATCCAAAGTTTTATAGCACTTTTGTGAGACGCCACTACTTGGAATACAGATAGAGCCAAAACCCTTTACACTTTTCATCTTCTGGTATTCAGAGTATTAAATATTTTCACTGATAGGTATGAATCGATGCTAAAGTTTCGTTGTGTTTCCCCAAAGAGATTCTGAACCCTTATAGCAGATCCGTGAACATCCCCTTAGTCATCGTTGTGTTCTCCAGCGCTTCTCACCTCTGCATGCCGCTGCCTTCTGTTGCCCCTCCAGCCCACCACGAGTGACAGAATACACTTCCCAGCTTCTTCTCGGTCTGGACTCTTAAAGCTGCTCATTTGTGTTATTCCTAAATAGCCAAATAACACTACACAAGATTCTCTGGGGTTTTCAGTACTTAAATACAAGAATAAACCTGTTTTGTTACTGTCTTGTCGTTATAAAACAGATGTGCTAAGTACCTTAGAAATATTTTGAATACAGGTATGTATATGGCATACACTGACATATGTTTTTGTGCCAGTAATGGTAGTATTGTCACCTGTCCTTTGCATAGGGGAAAAAAAAAATCCAGCCAGAATGTATTTCGTATAGAAACAGATCAAGGGTGAGCAAAGAATCTTTCCAAAGCACAGTAATCCTTCACAAACTCACCCAGGCAGCTAGACTTTGGCTAGGTCTTTATAGGATTTTCAGAAAGAAATCTGGAGAAAGGAGAACCTTTTCTCTGATAAAAATCTAGGACCCTGGGAAGATGACTTATGACACTTATTTTCTGTGAATAAATGTATGACCACACATTTAAATGGTGGATAAAACCTTATCTCTTTTTTTTTTTCTTTTATTCTCTGTTTCATTCCTTTCCCTCTCCACTTGTTTCCTTTTTCTACATCCACTGACATACTCTTCTTTTGTCGCTATCAATAATAATATATGTTCTTTCACCCTTTTATTTCTTCCTGGTTTTCTTCCCCTTTCCTTTTCAGCTTCCCAACTGACATACCTCTTTCTCTCTGTCATAGTGTGTGCAAGAAAAGGAATATAAGAGCAAAAGGTTGTTTAATAAAGAAGTGTTTGATTATTCTGTCTTCCACCGATAAAGTTTTATTAGCTCTGTGATTGTCATTTGTGCTTTTTGGCAAAAACATAAGTCACCTTCTGTACACGGGAAAAAAAAAAAAAAAAAAGATAATTCTAGCAAGTAAATCATGGTAGCTAAGTGCTTTGGGCAAACAAACATGTGCCTTATCTCTTCCAAAAAACCCGTGGAAAATGCATGATAAATGGCACATTTCAGAGAACATGTTATGTCACTGTGAAATAACTTTGATTCATGGTTATGTATTTATCTTTAAACAACTGACAAACCTTAGGGTATCTAAATTATTATCATTTGCTCTATGCCTCCATGTTTTTTTGTAGTGAATCTGAATGATGTGAGGTAAGATAAGACATCTGCTTTTTCAGTCATAATGTTCTATAACGAAAAAATAGTAAGCACAAACAGAAATTCTTGCTGTATCTGATTTTTGGATTAAGTCCTCTGAAAAATATTTATCAGAAATAATTTCCTCCAATTGTGTTTTGAAAAGCATTAGTATAAACTTCAAGCAGAAAAGGATGGGCCCTGTTAATGAAAGGTTTTATATTACACAGCAGTAGAAAATATCATCATTTTGATTTCTAATAAAGTAATTATTCCCCAAATTAAAAGGCATAATGGTAAATTTGTTCCTTTCAGTTGTGTGTCTGCATAAACTGTGTTCTGAATTACTTTTTAAAATGAAGATTTCATTTTGCCAGCCTTTTCAACTAGAAAGGAATCACATTATTTGATTTGCCCTTGTGACAAATCAGGAAAGATGACTTAAATGCTCTGGTGCTTGCATTAGAAATACCAACTACTTTAATCATAAATGGTGTATCAGGATTCAGGCGCTGTTGTTCTAGTATATAGTGGATGACAGCCCATTGTGCCCCATGCAAAGTTATTTATTTGTAAAACCTGTTCATTGTATTAGCGAGTGCACGGGAGTCACTGACTAACCGCCTCCCCGATTTATGGCACTCTGTCCGTGGTCGTGAGGAGCACCTGGTCTGCTCCATTCACAGCTCCTGCTGCAGGAACTTGCCGAGAGCCGGCAAGTCTATTTTGCACCGGAGATGTAGGAGCAGGACCAATGTGGGGTGAGGTAGGAAGCACATGGGCGAAGTGAGATGAATTTACCGAGCATCCTTGTCTGGATGGTTGGGCGAGAGAGGTGTAGGTAGAAGTGCTGGAATGAAGGGTCGGGTATTTAGGTCCAACGGGAAGTGTGATATGAGTGTGTGAGAGTTGGGAAGCCTTAGATTTTGACAGTTGCAAGCGCAACAGGTAGGACTGAATGACAGTGTGTAAGTGGGAGAAGTAAGCAGAGGGGTCTACACCAGGCTGCTGTCAGTCATGGTATGTTATATTATATTATATTATGCTGTGCCTACACTTGTCTGATTAGATTTAAACTGCCCGGGGCACGGACTAGATGCTAATCTGAATGATCCCATCAAGAAACTTTTCTATATTAAATGCTATGATCAGAGGAATTACCATTATTTTTGTATGTTTTTTTACGTTGCCCTTCAACATGCATAAGTCAAAGAAACAATAAGAAAATTTTCCCACACCTTTCTTTTCCTGTGATCCACTGGTACTACTTCTGTGCAGGTGCAATCAACGCTGCTAATATTACTAAGATTCTTATTCTGTTTCGCCCCTTTTCTGCATTGCTTTTAGTATAGAATCATACCATCCAGCAATGTCTGTCTAAGTGTTTTGCCGATAATAGCAACATGGAAGTCAAGAAATATGCACCAGTTTAAACAGGTTCAGAATCTGTTCTCTTCATCTGTTCCTTTGGCCTGCATTGAACCAATATGTTACAGAAAAAAAAAATATTATTAAATGCTATAAATCCAGTGCACTCAGTTTAGAAAATATTTCTTACGTTGTTTTTTTAATTTTTTTTTTTAGCTGAAACTCTTGGGGTTTTACTTTTCTGTTGCATTGTTTGGTAAGGTTTTAGTGAATGTAAGTTGTCATTCATGATGTCACGGCAATTTTAAATTAGATGACATTCCTTGCCTGAGTTATTTTAATGCTATCGCCTCGACTGAATCTAGAGAAATGCCTTTCAAATATGACCATGAAGTAAAAAAAAAAAAAAATATATTTATCTATTGTTCAATTTATTGTTGCATTCTCTGTTTCCTTATCTTCACTGAGCAGTAATAAATGTTGGTTACTTGGAGGTAGAAAATAGAAAATGATAATTGCTATACATGGTGGAAGCGCCTTTGTTTTCTTTATATCTAGTACTTTGCAGTGTATTTAACTTGGCTAAACTATCGTTTTTCTTAGTATACTTGAATCAGTTGACATTTATATATACATTGCATTTTGCATGTAAATGGAAAGTTTTATGGTTTTGAATTTTGAATCAAAACATCAAACTCATATTTTGCCTTGGAACATGATAGACATTCTAAAAATTTACAAACAAAAAAAGGAAACAAATGCTTATGCTGATTTTGACCTACTGTTTTTAGATATCTTTAGTGCTTGACAAAACATTCAAGCTCTCCAAAGTGAAATGCCTATCTCTTAGTAAGCACAAAACATGCAAACATGTAAATATGGAAACATTGTAAATTGTCGTATTAGGAACTTATTATTCTCTGGCTTTGTAGGCTGCTTTGCTTTTTTTCCAGCTCCTAGTGTCCTCAGTCTTGGTAACTTGAGAACAATATGGCAGCAACTATTTAGTCGAATGCTAACTGCAAATTAAAAGGTATATGTAGCTAATAAGGGAGAGATGCTTGGTAACAGCACATACCTCCCGCCAGCAAAAACACTCTTATCATAGCTTTATATAAGACGAAGTAAGATCATAATAACACAGGCAACATTTTCAGAGAGTTTCTACGTTTATTTAAATATAGTAATACTGCACCTGTTTTCTGTATATGCAAAAAAAAAAAAAAAAAGTCAGGAATGTCCTGCCTCAAAGAAATCATTTGCTGGCCAGGGCAGATACAGAGAAGGCAGACTTACTGGTCTGGGAAACTCAAGAGGGATTGGCTATCTTTATGAATTTGCTCTCGTTTTATGGTTTTGGCATTAGGAGGGTAGGTAATGGCTGCTGTTGAAGCACAATTCTTTTGCAGGGGTACTCCTTATTACAATAGGGGAAATTCTGGTACTGTCAGATATCAGTGTGTATACCAAAAGGTTTTGGTGTTTTCTAAGCTTTAAGAAGTTGATTTTGTTGTCTTTATGATCATTTCATTTTTTCTGTTTGGTTAGATTTGCAGCATGGGCTGTTAAAGCCCATTTTTAGGTCAATTACCATGGGTAGGACAATCTGTTAAAATGCAAAGAACTAATTGGGAAAACTCTCTTCCTATTGTTACAGTGAACGTTAAAATAAATTGAAGATGTACAAGCAAAAATATAGTGGAAATCTCAGATGTGACATAGGTATCTTCGTTTTTCAGGGTGTTCCTAAACCAATTGCTATCGAGCCATGTTCTGGAAATAGAGCCGCAGTCCTCACAGTATTTTTATGCCTGCCCAGAGGATCATCAGGAGTTCCACCCCCTGGTCAGTCAGGTAAGGCTCGTGTTGGTGAGTGTCATGTCCGTCCTTGTGCAACACAGTCTACTTGGACAAACACACCCACACATCCAAAATAATGACACAGCAGATGAATACAGGGGGCTACTCAGTCAAGTGGATGTTAACTTTAGGGCCAATGTTTAATGAGGAAGTTTTGTTTGGAATTTGACGTGGTATCCCAAATAAAAAGCCCAGTGATGAAAGTAGGCTGGTGTACATGCCATATCACATTAGCGCTTCCTGCAACAGTATGTGTGCATAACGATATTCTTCAACCTTGTCTCGTAGGGCAAAAAAATTTCAGAGGCAGCCACTTAGAAGGTTTCAGTTCAAGTTGCTATAAATGAGGCTTTATCAGAAATACCAGGGAGTATCCTCAGTTCAAGTTGATTTTTAGTCTACTGACTTGTAGTTAAGTTCCTTTGCACCAGGAATCCCAGTGCTGTGGTTCCATTAAAATATTAGCCTTTCCCAGAATGCCCATCGGATGAAACCTGGGGTTGTGTGAGTGAATGTGTCCGCTTCCTTAGGAAGGTGTTCACTTTGGAAATGATCCCAGTTCATTTTAAAGCAGCATTTGCATTATGTGGAGGCATTTATTGTGGTAATCTACTTTATCTGGTCTGGCGTAGATCATTGTACAAAACCATTGCAACCCTTCTTATACAATACTTCCTAAACAGAAGATACCCAAGTACACTTTTAAAATCCTTTAAATAACTGCCTCCAGTGATATTGATACAAAATGGTCATGACAACAAAGTTTAGACAGGAATGTGGCACTGCACAAGTGACCAGTTTACTGTTTCAGAATTCATTGGAGTTGTTGTCAAAAGGAACACTTTTGTAATGAATAGTAAACTGCATGTTATGTGCCCAAAATGCTCCTATAAATGAGAAAATATGCTTTAAGGCTCACTTTTATTAGTAAGAGCCAGAAAGATATCCTTTTAACCTTCAAAAATCCATTTAAGATATTAAAAAATATTGAATAATGATGATGGGGGCAAACTCAGTTGACTTATGTTGGAAATAAGCTCAGCTGAGTGGTCTTACTTCTTCTTTTGGCCTGATGACTATCTGTTATTTATTTGGGGTTTTTTAGTTTAGGGTTTTTTTTGGGGGGGGGTGGGGTGTTTGTGTGTGTGTATATTTTATTTTTTCCCCTGAGTCCTGAGATGAGGACCTAGTTCTTAAAATGCTGTTTATGGCTTAGAATATAATTTCTGGAAGTGCTATGAAAATAAAAGTGTTAGTGATGCTTTGTCAAATACATTTCCTGGAAGAAGTATATAAATGTAAGTGCTCTGAAGAGAGCAATGAGGGAGGAAGGATGTTTAGCATATTCCCTGTTCGCGTTTTAAGGAAACGAAAAAGCAATGAAGGTGTTTGTAGTCTTACAACAAGGAAAAACTTTATGAAAGGAAATTAAAAGTAATTATTGAAATTGGAGCTTAAAATGTTTTTTTCTGTTGTTTTCAAATTTACCTATGATGTGCTTCTTGGCAGTAAAAATGTATTTATCTAGTTATTTCATAATCACCTTCTATTTACTATATACTTTTTTTTTAAAGTAATTGCTGTTTTTGCTGTGTGTAAAACATGGATGGAGTAGGCTTTTTGAAATGGGAGTTGCGTTCAACAACACCGGAGATGTGTCATTTTGAATGTTTCTCAGTATGTGACAGAATGCACCTCTTTTTTACACACATTATGTCCTGTTGTTCAGCTCCGTCATTACTTTGCCTTCCATCAGCTTTGCAGGCTTATATTTGAAATGCTGTTCTTCCGTTTGGGGAATGAGGGTGGTAAGGCACTGGAACAGGTCACCCAGGAAAGCTGTGGCTGCCCCATCCCTGGAGGTGTTCAAGGCCAAGTTGGATGGGGCTTTGAGCAACCTGGGCTGGTGGGAGGTGTCCCTGCCCATGGCAGGGGGGCTGGAACTAGATGATCTTCAGGTCGCTTTCCCCCTAAACCATTCTATGATTCTATGATTTTTTATTATGGTGTTTGTCAGCCATTAGTACTTAAAAATATCTAAAATTTTTAGTCCCACAACTTTCACTTTGTTCAGGGTCAAAAGCATATAGAAATGCTTGAGGTGTGCAACCATGCTGGTTCAACCATTCGATTATATTAGATTATATTGCTGTAATCATTTTTTCTTCTGTGTAATGAATTTTGGTACTCATGGACTGCTTTCACTGTCTGTAACCATGCATAGTCTAGGCAGAAGCTATTATGCAAGTTTGTTGGCATACCTGTAGCTCTACTAATTCACTTCATTCCTGTCCTGCAGCACTACCTGCTGCTTCTTTCCTGGGCTTCCTGGGAGCAGATGCTGTGAACTGTGCCAAATTATTTGAAATTATGTGGAAGCTTTGTGCGGCAGACATATGTTTGCTATGCAGTTGGTTTCCCTTATGACCTAAGCTAGGTTAAAACAATGATATTTGGGTGGATGGAAGTAGTGTGTTCAGTAATTATGTCTTGCCAAGTAATTTTAGAATCCTCTGTTACTTGCATATGTGTTTTCAAGCTCATTGGGATCATTCTAGAATAAAACTGACGTGTGTCAAACATATTTGTTTAAATGATATGTCACAATGAGAGACCGTGCCTTTCATTTCTTATATACATATGTCTGAAATATAGGAATGAAATGCCTGTGCTGTTCTGCATTACGTTTTCTCAAAAATCAAGAAAGCTCCTTCTTTCCATGAATAGCTACTCTCCGCTCTTCTGGAGTTGTCAGGGTTGTACTCCTATGTTTTTAAGATCTGAATTTGATCAAAAGTGAGTTTTACTTGTTTTCAAGGTTTACATTAACAAATATTTTGTTGAAAAAATGTCTCTGAATATTAAAAAAAACCAAACTAACTAATGTAAAGGTTACTCTCTGCAGCTTATGTTCTATACTTCACCTTTAGCAGCAGCTGGAAGAAAAGTTGAAACTACAGATGGTGGGTTTTGGCCAAAGGCTATGCAAGGGAAAAACTTCTCTAGGAGAGACCATATGTCCTAGTGGAGATCTGAGTGCTCTCTGCTTGCTGCAGAAAATACGCAGAACTTTACAGACTTTCAAAAGCATTGTTTAGTTCTAAGTGCTAATCTTATAAATATGCAAATAACAGATAGACACAATTAAACTGCTTAAAATTAATAAGTGGTTTAAGATAGGTTACAGCTAGGTTGACATGATTTAACTGGTTTAAGATAGGTTTTTTACAGATTGGTCATGTAGATTCAGATAAAATATTGATAAAAATGAATTTCTTGAAAAAAAACCCAACAAACTCTATTCATTGTGACTCGCACTTTAAAAAGGGAATTTTTCAATGAAGGAACGATTTGTATAATTAACCATCCTGAAAATCTGGAAAGTCAAGAAATGTTACCATTGTAGTAAGTTAGGTGCAGCACAGTAGACCTTACATTTTCTTTTAAGTGAATGCTTTGAAGAGGATCCTAACAATTCAATTATACTTCTCTAGAGTAACAACTGTTTTTAAATGAAATTTTGCTTGGATTAGGGCAGAAATTAGAACCACATTATAAATTAGAATGATCAATGAAAAACAATAAGGAAGTTCAGCAGTGATAAAAAATAAATTTCCCAATTTTGGATTGACTAATAGAACGTGGTCTCCTCATTCTTCGGTGGTCTCATTGGCTGCATTGTATCTGAGTAATCAGATCAAAATTCAAAGGTTCAAAAAAATAGCAATTCTTTGTGCAATTCATGTGTGTATCAATATGAATGCATCAATGTATGTGTGTATCAGAAAAATCACTTGTCCAAGCACTTGTGGGCAGATTATAATAAGCAATGGACATATAAGTCTTACAGATTTTATGGCACATTGGAAGCTAGAGATTAGCTGTTGTTGCTGTAGTGTCTGACCCTGTGCTTTAAATAGCTTAAACTCTTCTTAATATCAAAGGAGATCTAATAATGAGAGCAGCTGCAACCAGATCTCTAGAAAGAACTAAATTATACACCTCAAAGGGTATTGAACAAAACAAGCTAGGAAAAAAAAACAAAACAAAACAAAACCAAAACCAGGAACAAGAGGGTAATATATAAATTAATGCACAAAAAGGTGCCAATGGATTACTGGCAGTGGAAAGACAAAGGTCTTCATACAGCTCTAGTGATATATTGGGCAATACAGAAAGAATAGCTTGGTAGGGTGATAAATTCTGTTAAAAGAACTGTGTTCATGTCATCATTATTAAAGCCAACTAAATCCCACACTTTGAGGTATCCAAGTATTGTACAATAAGTTTATACGACTCTATGGTTGCATTATTCTTGGATAAGGCTGCTAAATGCTTTAAAGCAGAAAGAGAAATGAGAATATTAGAGCAGTTCAAAATAATTCAGAATCAAGGCATGTAACTTCTGAAGTATTTACAGGTTATGTTAATTTCACACAACAAAATTTTCCTGTTGAGCAGGCAAAAGCAGTAGAACACCCACTAAAGGTGCTTTTCTATTAAGGCAGTGAGCCTAATGGTCTCTGAAGGTGGACATACATGAGCGTCTCTCTGTTAAACCTTAGAGGATATCTAACATCTATATGGCTATGACTAGGTGAGATGAATCTAACTTAATAGTTAAAAATAACACTTGGAAATTAAAATAAAGAACTAAATAAAATATAGTGATTAATAGAGCAACTTCAGTGGAAATAATTCTGCGGTGGAAGTTGTGGAATGTACATCCTGGAAGACTGCATGCAATATTCTGTTGCTGTATGTATCAATGAAGATAGCAAAATTTCGTGTTTGGCAAGCCTCTCCAACAGTGCTATTTGAAAGTTACTCTCTGATATCCTTGAATCGAAACAGAATTTTGTGTAATTCTGGCCATGCTAACTGTGGCGTTCAATCCTACTTAATCAGCAAGCTACAGTAGGATCACAGAATCAATAAAATTACCATGCCATCTGCCTTCCCTGTACTCACCATCATAATGAATAACGACTCAT